ACCAATAAAATAATTAAATTATCTTGCGTTATACTGTGGAATACTACACAGCCATTAGAAAGAATACTGACATGAAAAGATTTCTAAATTAACTATTAAGGGAAAAAAGAAAGGTGAAGAACTGCCCAAGGGGAGGTATGAGCTGATTTGTTTCTGAAAGTAAGAAGCTGATATAACCATAAATGTTTATATATGAAGAAAAAAATTATTAAACGACAAGCAAGCAACTGTTAATATTCCTGAGTGTAGTGAATGGGATGGAACTAGAGGTCAGAAATGGAGGAAGAAAATCTTTACTTTTTATTTTATGTCTTCCTTTGCTGCTTGAAATTTTTACCACAAATAGAGATTATGTTTATAATTTAAAAAGTAATAACACCTGATTCTCAATCATAGGGACTATTGAAACCATGGACATTTGAAACTCACAGATGAACATTTTAAATGGCTCTCTTCCCTCTCCATTTACCCTTACATGTATAAAACGAAAAATGCCTTTTGTCATAGCAGATAAATACAGGAAAAGTTTTAAATTGTCTTCCTTCTATCTCTGCATACCTCTTCTGATACAGCTGTTAATAAGTAATTATCCTCAGCAAGTAATCATTATCCTCAGCAAGTAATCTTGCTAAAGAATGCACAAGGAAGGGATTGGAAAATGCACATTTATTGAAAACATAACCACTATGTGCCAGGCATTGAACTAGGGTTTAGGGTCCAAATGATTCACAAAACAAATGCTTGGGATAATTAGGATGATCTGAAGAAATTATGAAGAGTTAGCTCTAATTGTTTTAAAGTTGTGTATGCCCATTGCTGGATGGAGCCAGAAGGAAGCTATTCAGGCATTTTTTATGAAGTTGGTGAAGGAGACATAAGTTGAAGAAAAAAAAGAGAAGACAGAATTAGACAACCACAGGTCTAGAACTGTATAATCTGAAAGGCCCTGGAGTGATAGTTAGAAATGCAGATTTCCAATGCCCAACCTCAGTCTACTGAATAAGACTTTCTAGAGGTGTGTCCTGAGAATCTGCATTGAAGTCAAATTGTCTAAGTACACTTTATAAAACTAAGTTTGAGAAGCTCTGCTCTAAGGTTATTTCCACTCTGAAGAATAAGTCCTATCTGGAGATACTCTCCTTATGTTTATTTTCTCCTTAGATTTCTAGGAAGGTGTTAGGGCCCATATTAGGGAGTGAGCTAGATGTTAGGGAAAAAACTCAATCTGTGCTTTTTAAAATTTTGCCATCTCTCTTACATTTTGTCACAATATAGATTTTTAAAATCATCTCAAAGGATTCTAAATTTCCATCCAATTGTTTCCTTAACATGATTATTTTCTCAGTAGCTTCATCATGAGTTTTTCCCTTAAGTTTGTGAAAGAGAAAGCTAGAGACCATGTATTTGCAGTTCATCTGTTATAATGTAATAACTGAGCATACATCTTGTCTTCTTTTGATTTTACTTGTGTTATAAATTTGATTATAGATAATTTTGTTGATAAATCACAGGTCTCCTAAAATATTTGAAAGACTATTATGAATAAGGTCCTAAAGTTTAGAAGGCATCTGATCTCTCTGTAGAGTCTAGATTATTTTAGATAACAATGAGGATAAGTATAAATCAATATATGACTGCCAAGTATAAACAGAATTGAATCTAGTTTAATGTGCATTTATCAATTACTTATTATACTGCAATTTGCCAAAGGATATTAGAGGAGGTAAGCTGGTTATAAGATACAGTTCTACCCTCGAAGGGCTTACAGGATGTTGAACAAGGCTCATCCATAGACTAACTTTAATAAAAGGCAAAATGACAGATTCCAAATAAAAATGCAGTAAGTAGTAAATCTAAACAATAGGAACTTTGGAGAGTGACTATTTGTGGTAACCTAAGGAAAAGCAGAACAAATAAGTCAAATCTACTCTGTTTAGAGGTGTTGCATCCAGATTATACTCCACCAGAGCACACCAGAGAAGACTTCACAGAGGAGCCTGGTTACAGAGAAATTCACAAGGATGAGGATTTGACGAGAGGAACAATGAGTAAGATAATATTTTTGTAAGGCTGGGGGCAGTGGCTCACACCTGTAATCCCAGCACTTTGGGAGGCCGAGTGGGGTGGATCACCTGAGTTCAAGAGTTTCAGGCCAGCCTGGTCAACATGGTGAAACCTGATCTCTACTAAAAATACAAAAATTAGCCCGGCTTGGTGGTGGGCGCCTGTAGTCCCAGTTGCTCGGGAGGCTGGGGCAGGAGAATCGCTTGAACCTGGGAGGCAGAGATTGCAGTGAGCCGAGATGGAGCCACTGCACTCCAGCCTGGGTGACAGAGCGAGACTCCGTGTCAAAAAAAAAAAAAAAAAAGAAAGAAAGAAAGAAAGAAAGAAAGAAAGAAAGAAAGAAAGAAAGAAAGAAAGAAAGAAAGAAAGAAAGAGAAAGAAAGAAAGAAAGAGAAAGAAAGAAAGAAAAAGAAAAAGGATATTTTTGTAAAGATGTGATAATGTGATAGAGGGTAAGCACTTGGTGGGAACAACAATTCTGGCCCGATACATGAGTAGAATACTACTCAAAATGATATTATTTACATTATTATTATTGTTGTTACATTGAAGAACATGCCTATAAGAATCACAGAAACCAGCAAAACTAAGAAGGTGATGTCCTAAAATGGGAAGAGACCTGGGAATTTCCAAGTTTGTCACATCTGCACAGTATTATTTCTTTAAAAAGCCAAATGCCACAAAAGTCGTATCCTCTAATTTTTTTAATAACCTTGAATTTCTGATGAGGTAAATGAGACACAGTGATTAAAGTTTAGAAATATAGGAAAAGAAAGGCACTTTAAAATATTTCTCTTTGAATCTTCGGAGAAATGCTGTGAACCAACTCCAGGATTCTCTACAGAAACAGGCTGGGCATAGTGGCTCATGCCTGTAATCCCAACACTTTGGGAGGCCGAGGCAGGCTGATCATTTGAGATCAGGAGTTTGAAACTAGCCTGGTCAACATGGTGAAACCCTGTCTCTACTAAAAATACAAAAATTAGCCTGGTGTGATGGTGGGTGCCTGTAATCCCAGCTACTTGGGAGGCTGAGGCAGGAGAATCGCTTGAGCCCGGGAGATAGAAGTTGCAGTGAGCAGAGATCGGGCCACTGCACTCCAGCCTAGGGAGACAGAGTGAGACTCCATCTCAAAGAAGAAAAAAAAAAAAAAGGAAAAAAAATGTATACCACATTTATGCTTCCAAGATTTTATTTTGCTTTATTTCACAATTATTTTCATCTTGGTTAAATTAGAAGTTAGGATAATTGAGGCTCTATTAAAAGCATTTTCTTTAAATGTTATTCTTCTTATTTGCATTTGGCTTTTCCTCAAATAGAAAGGAAAAAGATATCCAAATAGACAATTTTTAAAAATCCTTCCTTATTTAATTAACTGTTCATATAAATATATATAAATATATATGCTATCCTTTTTTGTTTTCTGGGAAAAACTCAAGGGCTACAACTAATCCTCTTAAATGTGAGTCCCATGTTTTCTCTGCTTTTGGAATCACTTCAACACGTGGCACAGCACCTGCCTTAATGTTTTTAACATTATATTGACTCCTTTTGCTGTTCCTCTGGAAGAAAATGTCTTCCATGGAAAAGTGTGGTGTCTAACCTATCCCAATAGCGCTTTAACCCATGCTCTTTCTCTTTGCATCTGTGGGCACAGCACTGGTTCCCAGACTCTGGGGATGGGGGTGGGGGGTTTCCACTGGACCAAACCCAGGATAGACTCCGTCCCCCACTTCTGAGATCCAGAGGCTGCTTGTCTGTGGCTGGGCTGCCCAGCCCTTTGGAAGAGAGTAGGCTGATGGAGCCTCCTCGAAATCAGGCAGCAGTGCCCGTGCCACGGCCTCTGCAGGACAGACTCCACCATCCCCGGGGTGGGTTTCCGGAGCCCCGCGCCCCGCCGCGCCCGGGAAAGGCTCCAAAATCTCTCGGCCCGGAGGCCCCACGCGGCCTCTGCTCACAAGCGGGGAGTCGCAGCCACGCTACAGCTGGCTTGATCCTCAGTGCTGGGTGGAGAAACCGCGGCGGCAAACGCCGGGCCTGCAGCTGCTGCGTGTCGGCGTTGCTGGCTCGCGGGCGGCGACGGCTCCCGGACAACAGAGGACGCGAGCAACCCGCGCAGCGCCCAGCAGGGCCTTGGCAGGGTGGAGAGGCGCAGGCTGGGTTAGCGGAGCAGAGCGGACCGATCTGGTGCCCTTCGTGGCCCCAGGCCTGCGGACCTTCTGTGCTCCCCGGCCCAGGGCGAGAGCGGGGGAAGAGACAAACAGTGCCCCGATAGTGGCGCGCGCTCTCCGCCATCCCCGGGCCTCACGCTTTCACCTCGCGTGCTGGGGCGAGGGCGGGGCTGCGTGGTGTACTGGGTCGGGGGTAGGGAGGACCTGCCAGGCCTTAGCCCTGAGCTATCGGTCATCCGCTAACGCCGCGCTTCCTGAATCCCTGGCTTGGACCCGAGGCTCTGCGCCGCTTGTCTGTAGCAGACACAACCCAGCTCCCTTACTGTTCTCAGGCCCTGCTATTTCAAGAATTCCAGAAAAAGAGTGCACCGGCGTGTGCGGGCCGGTGCTGCCCGGAAAACCCGTGAAGCAGGCACGCACGGCCCGGATGCAAGCACATCTGTCCCCTCCCCCAAAGGTCTCCCCAGCTTTATTGATCGCGTGGGTGGGGGGTAGGGATCTAAATTTGTCTCCCAGATTTTCTCTGAAATCGAGTCTCTTGGGAGTGAAGGTCCATATGATTATACCACGTCCATAGCAGTCGCGTTGTGTTCAAAATGGGCATGGGTGCTCGCGGCGCGGATACTGAGTTCCCCAGAGACGCGGAGTCTTTTGCCCCAGGGGCTTATTCTTGTTTTCTCAATGGAACAGGTCTTCGAATTTCCCCAGGAACATCTCAGTAAGTAGGGGTGTGCGTGTTTGTGTGTGTCAGTGTGTGTGTGTAAATGGTTCCTATGAGCTGACAGTTTGGTATTTAAAGAACAAATGGACATAGGCACAGAAGTCATGCCTTTTCCATGGATAAGATTGAGATTTTCTGAGATTTCCAAGACAAGGTTGACCTGTCACGGGATAGTATTTTCAATCCTTCTCATTTAATTAAAAAAAAAAAAAAAAAAAAGCCTGCACTTCTGTAGATTTTTGTTGGACATTCTTGTTAGTATCTTAGATTACTATGATGTTCTAAGTTGAATATAGGCATGAATTTTCATAATAGAACACTTGTTATATCATATGTATTCCCATTGCAGGTCATTTTCCCACCAAACTGTAAGCTTCTTCAAGGCAGGAAGACCTTTTATTCGCCTCTGACTTGTCCCAAACCAAGTAATGCCTGCAAATATCAAGTACCCAATAAATGAGTGTTAATTACACCACTCACCCCCAATCCTTTCATTTCCTGTAGGCTCTAAATATTTCTGTGTGTGCAAAGGAGTAGCAATGGAGGAATGTGGAGATAGGGTTCACAGATACCAAATAAAAGTAAAAGACATGGCCATCAATGCTGATGGATATTTACCAGATAGTAATGGTGCTCAGAATCAGTTTGCTAATCAAGTCTCCTTAGTTTTAGGGTTGTTATGTGGAAGAGGTAGGAATGACCTACAGTATCAGGCAATTCTCTTAAAAATCAATATCTGGATATATATCTCTCCCACCCCTCAACCACCATTTTTTCTTCCTTTCTATAGATTAGGTATGGTGTAAACCATTATACTTACAGTGGAAATGAGCTTGCTAACCTGTGATACCTTACCAGTCCTTGGATTTACTGGTACATTTGGCTAATCTCATATTTCCCTTTTTACATTTTTCACTGGAATCCTAAGATAACATAAACTGGTGAAACCTGGTTTAGGTATCTAAAATACTTAACTTGGGAAAGTGAGCTGCAAATATTAAAAATCATTAGCTGCCTTAATTGTTGCTTTTTCAACTCAGTGATACCATTATATCCTCTCTCCTCAGCCTTTGAACGTACTTCCTAGTCTCTTCCATGAGTAAACATTTGAAGATTAAACATTTGAAGATTCTACCTTGTTAATATGTAATATTAACTGATACTGTTTTTCATAAGGGGTTTAGCTGTGCCTGGTCACCTTATATAATGCTGCTTTAAAAACATCACCATCACTGATGCGTTATAAAACATTTATTCTGGACAACATAGTATGCAGAACACTTTCCATTAATTACTAGAAATCTCTTGAAGAGGACACTGCCCACAATGGGAATTATTTTTATTTTAGATGCTTGTACTAGAAAAATATACTTCACTCAGAGTAAATGATAAGACTGGGTGCCTCATCAATATCATGGTTTCTAAATTTCTGTAGACCATTCAGTTGTGACAGGTCTAATGCTCTAACGGTAACAAAATATTAGTTTTATTAAGAACTTTAGGGTTAAGCTCTTGGATTTTTGTAGCACCTCTTCTACTCTTTTGTTCAAGTGCCAAGTATTAATTCCTTTCAGCTTGTAAGTAAAATGTGGTTCAGAATGCTACCTCTATTTGTAGCATTAGGAAAAAATGCTGTATTTATAATAATTCTCCACAACATTGGTTTATTTTAGCATCAATTTCCTCTCCTCCGTTATGATTTTTAATGGAGTCCTTATTGGTGTTTTTTTTCTTGACCTACTTTCTTTTCAATAGCTTTCATATATAGCCTGTTTTCATTGTTGGTGATTTCTGTAGAGTCTAGTAGAGTCTAAATCACGGTGAAACAGAGTAGTTAGTTATTACTTATTGTAGAAATGTTTTCGTGGTTTAAAAATCATCTGGTCTGTTCATATTCTGACTTCTTTTAAACTATGCTTTTCATGAATTTGCTTCATTCTCCAGACTGAGGATTGAACCTCATTCTGCTCTGACCCAATTGTTCTTTTCCTTTGTTGCCTCCACCCCCTAGAGAATGTGTTTCCAGGGGACAGGCGTTCTTGGGGCTGAAGAGGAGGAGAGTCAAGTGAGACGAGATCTGGTACCTCACGCACTAGATCCCTCCTCTCCGGCCTGGTGAGAAGTCAGAGACAATTTTGACAGTTCATAGTCCTGCCTCGGCTCTCACGCTTGCGGTCCATGGGCGGGTTTTACCTTCTCTCTCTTCCTCTGCTTCTGGCCTGCTTACAGGCCAACAGCAAATGCAGCCATTGCCCGAGGCCACTCAGAACTCTCCCTGTGCCATCCTCTTGGGGAACAGGAGGATATGTCCGTAGAAGACTTCGGGGACTGGGGAAAGCCACGCCAGGATCGGGACGCCGGAGAGGGTCGCCCCTCCCTAGGCTTTTTCCCGTCGCGGCGCCCACGTGACCGAGAGCAGGCCTTCACCAGCCCGCCCCTTTCAGCCGCTACTGCCCACTTCCCGCTCGGGGTAAGTAACCGCGGTTTTCCGCACCGCCCCAACCCCGCCCTTCTCCTTTCCCCTTGCCTTCACCTCCCTCGGGCTCTCTCGCGCCACTCTCCCCACCCCCCTATCTTCCCCATCGGGCCCTTTGTACGTGCTCGGCGGCGTGCAAGCGCGCCTGGCACGTGACCCCGCCGAACGTGGCATTGTGTTATCACGTGACCCAGGTGCGTACGCGACGGAGCGGGGTGTGAAGATGGCGGACGAAGAGGCCGAGCAGGAGAGGTTGAGTCGCGGCGAAGGCGGCTGCGTCGCGGAGCTGCAGCGCCTGGGCGAGCAGCTCCAGGAGCTAGAGCGACAGCTGCGGGAGAGCCGGGTACCGGCCGTGGAAGCGGCCACCGACTACTGTCAGCAGCTGTGCCAGGTGAGGGCGCCCGGTGGTCCCCTCCCCCTTTACCCAGCTAGAAGGGGAAGAGGGCGAGCGAGCGCCAGGCGGCCGAGAGGTGGTCGCCGCTTCCTTGGCATCATCGGCGCCTCCGCCCGGGTGGGAGCGGTAGTAGAAGGAAGGCGCCTTTGTGTGGCTGCAGTTGTGGCGGTTGTTGTCGTCTGCAGCTCCTGGCTGGGGGAAGGGAGTTGTGGTCAAGGCGGAAAATCCCCCCTCCCCTTTCCTTCCCTGAACTCGGGACTGCGCGGTCCTCGCGGCTGAGGAAATGTAGACGGTGCGGATTGGAGAGAGTAGGAGGAGAATGGAGGCCAGGTTCTCTTCCTCCTCCTCTTATTGTGCACTGGGGATTACCGCGCCTCCCGCCTCTGCGCCTCTCTGCTTCCCACTCCGACGGGCCTCCGCCCCCACTGGTTTGATTCCTTTGCCTTCCCCTGCTTTCATCCGTCCCGCCCCCAGCCCCGGCCCTGTCCTGGCTGTCTCCGGGCCTTTGTTGTTCGAATTTCGCCTTAGGACTGAAGGGGCCTTTGTTGATGTTCGGAGGAGCAGTCCCCGCCGACCCCTTCTAGTTGAGCTAGACGTTCCGGAGGGGGTGCTTGGCGGAGGTTGTCCCCTCCTGCCCATACTTGCTTGCTTGGTGCACCCATGGTAAAGCTTGATCTCCTTAGTGTGGAGGAGCTGTCCCTGTACATCTGTCTCAGATTGAGTGGCCCTTTGGGACGGCTTTTCCAGAGTCCGTTTCTCATTTGCTTCCACCCTTCGAGGAGTATGATTTCCACTATCCTTTCTCTGCCGATCACCCCTTCACCCCTGTTTCTTGGAGTTCTCCCTGTTTGGCTTCCTGATGAAGTGGGAGAAGACAGGTTCATGTGGATCTGTGCTTTGGGTAGTTTCAAATCTTTTCTTTGCTTGCCCAAGGACGCTTCTCACCAGTGACTGCATTCTAATCAGAATTTGGAATGTTAATAACACTGTTTGCTAGTGATGAAAATAATTTCATCCTTGATGAAAATCGGAGAGTTTGGGACTACATTTGGACTTCATTACGAGCCTTGCACTTAGGTTTGAAATTTCAAGGTAGTGTTGCTGGCTCTGGTGAAGACTTTGATTGGATTGTCTTGAGGAGGAAAAAGAAGACACAATTTACACAGGTCATATTTAGAGTTAACTTGTGAATGTATCTTTACAGAGAATTCGTTTTGGAAAAGTATTGATCTTAACGTAGAACAATGGTTGACCATTTTAGCTGAGTAGATTACATTTTCACTTATTTTTTAGCCTCCAAATATTGAAATCTTTCCATTATAATGTCGGGGATACGTGATCATATACAAAAGAATCTCCGCCGCTGTATGCGCTTTATTGTCATAAATTATTTGATGGCAGTTCAAAATCTTAAAAACAGAAACTGTGAGATCAAGTGGTGACTTGTCTAGGAGGATGTGCAATTTGAAAGCTCCCTACTTAGGTAAATAGGTCTGGTGAATACCTGTGGCAAAATTAGAGGCTCATTCCTTTGAATTCTAATATTAAAAAATTGTTGAAATTTCTCAGTTTCTTTACCTTGCAGTACCCACTCATTCTTAATTGGTCTTTAAAGATTTATTTTAGAGAGAAAAAGATTTCTCTAAGATACCTATAATAGGAAGTATTTTATTAGTAAGTCGAGTCAGTTTTTATATAATAGTCAGTGAGAACTATTAAAGTCTAGCTTTGCTGAAAGACATTTTTCCCCTAATAGTGTCCACTGATAGTTTTAAGGCTAATTACTGTAAATTCTCTTTTGTCAGCAGTATTTTTAAGCAGGATTAATAATTCTGGGAAAATAGAATTTCATGCAAGCTAGACCCCCCCCCCCCTTTTTGTGGGTGTGTGAGGTTGTAAAGTTATCACTTAAAGATTATTTATTTATTTATTTTTGAGAGACGGAGTCTTGCACTGTCACCCGGGCTGGAGTGCAGTGGTGCGATCTCAGCTCACTGCAACCTCCGTCTCCCGGGTTCAAGGGATTCTCCTGCCTCAGCTTCCCAAGTAGCTGGGACTACAGGTGTGCGCCACCATGCCCAGCTAATTTTTGTATTTGTATTAGAGATGGGGTTTGGGGTTTCACTATATGTTGGTCAGGTTGGTCTTGAACTTCTGACCTCAAGTGATCCACCTGCCTCCATCTCCGAAAGTGCTGGGATTTCAGGTGTGAGCCATCTCACCCCGCCAGACTTACAAGAGTTTTTTAAATGAGTGAAACAGCATTTTAAAAATCAGAATGAAAATAATTTCCTACATTAGTTTCATTAAATGATTAGTCTTACACATAAATTGTTATTGATGCTACTGACAAAAAACATCAAACAGTAATGAAACGAAGGCTGGATTTGTGGATTTCAAAAATTATAAAATATTTCATACACTGTAATCTCAGAATAATTTAAGTACACTTAAAAGCAATCTCCATTTGAAACGATACGGAGTGTGTCTAATTTCCTCTGGAACGTTTTCTGGGGTGGGGTTTTTTGTTTTGTTTTTCAGGTAACCTATTTATGTTAGTGATCTTGTCAAATGGAGGTAACTTGAAACCATTGTTTTATTTATGTTTATTTACAGGGGTGGAGGTGGCTCACGCCTTGAATCCCAGCAGTTTGGGAGGCCAAGTAGGGCGGATTGCTTGAGGCTGGGCAACATGGTGTGGCCCCTTCTCTACAAAAAATAGAGAAAACAAAACAAAACAATTAGCCAGGCTCCGTGGCGAGTGCCTGTAGTCCCAGCTACTCGGGAGGCTGAGGTGGGAGGATCATTTGAACCAGGGAGGCAGAGGTTGCAGTGTGCAGAGATTGTGCACTGTGCACCTCCAGCCCAGGTGACAGAGCAAAATTCTGGCTCAGAAAAATAAAAAATAAAAATAAAATTGTATCTTAGCAATTACTACCTAGCATTTTGATACGAAGTTGAGTGAAGCAGTGTTTAACAGTTGTAGAATTTATTGGCACAATCTAAATATAGTGAGTGCCAGGGATACTAGGAGCTAGAAATTATCTGTTAGTTTCTAATCTTGAGATTATTGTTTAACTTTTTCTATTTAAGCTTTTCCTGTAAAACTGGGATAGTCACATGCTTCAAGAAGGCAAAGATGAATAAACGTTTGTCAAAGTTAATGGGCTTCAGAATTAATATTCTGCCAGTGTTGATGCTTAGTGCTTGTGTAACCCTTATTTTTGCATTTACTTTAAAAAATGAATTAGTTTACTTTCTATGTAATGTTTATTAACAAAAGTTAAGTTTCTGGAGAATGTGGTGAAACCCACAGAAATAGGAGTTGCTTATGATCCCTAGTTTATAGAATTTTATTTTTGAGTGAGGTAGGAGATTAATAGATTTTTTTAAATTCTGAGTAGCAGAATAGAAACGAAAGGCATTAAATGCTTTTCTTAACAGTGTTGTTTTGCTCTTTCTGGAAATAAGCCCCCCTCTTTGCTTATTTAAATGAGAATTTGCTTAAAGCTTAAGTGGGAGGAGGGAAGAGTAAGTGGAGGATGGGCATGGTAGAGCGCCTGTCATAAATCTTAAATTTTCCTTATTTTATTTTATTTTTTGGGAAATGGGGTCTTGCTACATTGCCCAGGTATGATCTCAACCTCAAACTCTTAGGCTCAAGTGATCCTCCTGTCTCAGCCTTCTTTTTTTTTTTTTTTTTTTTTGAGTTGGAGTTTAACTCTGTCACCCAGGCTGGTGTACAATGGCGCAATTTGGGCTCACCACAACCTCTGCCTCTTGGGTTCAAGCAATTCTCCTGCCTCAGCCTCCCGAGTAGTTGGGATTACAGGCATGTGCCATCATGCCCGACTAATTTTGTATTTTTACTAGAGACAGGGTTTCTCCTTCTTGGTCAGGCTGGTTCCGCCCCCCTCAGCCTCCCAAAGTGTGGGATTACAGACATGAACCACCACGCCTGGCCCTTTCTCAGCCTTCTAAGTAGCTGAGACCTCATACACCACCACGCCCAGCTCTTAAATTTCCTTGTATCTTTTCAAAGTTAGCTTTAATATGGGCAATATAACCAACCCAATTTCTTAAAATTGGCTTAGAATAAGTATATAGAATAACCAGAAGTAATTTCTTGCATTTACTTGTTTTAGGATTATTACTGTATTTATTATATAAAAAATTGGTTATAATTGGAATCTTTTGAACTAGTTAATTGTATTAGACTGGGCCAGTAGTCAGTCATTCAACATTTCTACTGTATACAGGCTAGGCAAGCATGATCATGGTCCCTGGCTTCAAAGAGTTTATAGTCTCTGGAGGAAGGTAGACAGATAATCGTAAACTGTGATTTATATATTTTATTGCAGAGATGAGTACAGTAAAGAGGAAGGTTATTTGGGAGTTTTAAAAGAAGCATTCCAACAGAGGAGTTGTTCTAAAGATATTTTAAAATAATGGTTGGAAAAATTGGCCATTGTAATAGTTGATTTGTTGGAGTATGATATTTACTGACAGCACTATATACTGGACTGACTGACTGGTTGATTGTAACTGTTATTGACCATTGATCAGTAGTGATCTGGTGGCTGACAGTTGTTTTAAAGGGTTGAATTGCAGTCGCGTGTGTGTGTGTATAATACACACACACATACACATACATGTGTGTGTATATGTATGTGCAAGGACCTAGGTTTAGATGTTGCAGAGGATATAAGATACAAGAGACTCTAATAAAAAAAAGTATGTGTGTGTGGGTGTGTGTGTGTATATACATATGTACGATGTGTGTGTGTATATACATATATATGAAGTGTGTGTATATATATAAAATTTTCTTAGTTCATATAAGCAGTGCTTCTCAACTGGACATAGTACTTTCCCTACCTCCAGTTATCTCTTCAAGGGCACTTAGAAATATGTGGGATCAGGCTTTTGGATGTTGCTATGACTAGGGATGTGGTACTGGCATTTAGTGCCCATGACCCTGAATGCTAAATTCTCTG